TAATAAAATACTACTTTAAAAAGAAACTTGCTAATAAGTCACCATTCCATTCTTTCTTTTCTGGGGAGAATGGGTTAAAGGAGAAAGTAAAGAAAACATAGTAGATGAGTAGTGCAGGAAGTGACATCAGTGAAAACATTTAGAAAATAAAATATTCGAGAGTAATAAAGGAAAAAAGTTTTGTAGAAAGGGAAGTTTTTGTTTGTTTTGTTTTGTTTTTGAGATGGTGAATCGCATCACTTAATAAATCTGTTACAGTTCTTTATTCTGCATGTGCTTATTATGTAGATCATTTTATTATCTGTGATAAGTGTAATATTGAAACACCACAGTCTTACACTAGAAAGCCAGCACTGCAATATTAATAGTCTCACTTGAATGGATTCTGATTTGATCTTTTTTATATCTTTGGTTGGGGAATACTTTTGTAGGCAGAAACTGAACTACAGAGAGCAACAATGGATGCTACTCGAACAACTCGCCATCTAGAGGAAACTATTGACAACTTTGAAAAACAGAAAATAAAGGATATAAAGGTAATGAAGTCCTTGTTAAGGTTAAAAATAAGTTTTTCTAACCTTATTTTTCATTTTATTAAAGATTATGAATATTTTAAGTTACTTTAATTTTTAATGCATAAATAAATCTTTGTAAAAAGGATCAAATCAATCAAAATATAGTAAATATTATTTTCTTATAGAAATAATGGTATATTATTTCTGTAACAATGTACCATTGTTAAATACAACAAGTTGAATGTTCACTACAACTTACTTTCACAAATACTATTCAATCTAGAGGAACTAACATTTACTATGTTTTTATGTATCAGGCACTGTTCCAGGCCCTTTACATAACTCATCGTTTAATCTTCACAGCAACCGTGTAAGAATTAGGTGCTATTATCTACACCTTACGAATTAAGAATTTATGTCTCAGAGATAGGAAGTAACTTACCCAAAGTACTGTAGCCAGAAATCTGAGATATAAACCAATTATGTATATTTAAAAATCTGTGCTTTCTGTTATATCATTAATTTTTATAGCATAACACTTTTTAATAATTATATATCATCAAACAGGTGAACGGTGGTAGTGAACACACATACACTTGCATTCACCATGATACAGTCTTAGTCAACCAAATCAGGATTGCCTTCTTTCATTGTAACAAAATCAGTAAATTTGAAACCTTTAAAATTGTGGAATTCAGGAAGATCATTTTGGGTTTTTTTTGTTTTCTTTTTAATCTTCACTGTGATTTGGGTGAAAGTTTACAGATTAAATTAATCATCCATGCAGCGGTTTACATACACTTTGTCTTATGACATTGACTGTAATCTCCCACAGTGCAACAGCTCTCTTCCTACTTTCTCCCCATAGTTACCTCTTCCCTGTGTCCTTCCCTCCCATGCATTCCTGCCCCCCCGAGCTGTCTCCCTGTGCATACACCGCCCTCTGTTCTCCCATGATTGATCTCTCCAAGGAGTATATCTACCTAATGGAAGTGTTCAGCTCATTTGCCTGTCTTTTGTTTGGCTGGAAGCCACAGTGGGTTCAATTCCAGACCTGAAGGTCAGCTAGGGGCCATAGTCCCAGGGAGTCCACCAGGCTTTACCAGACCAGCAAAACTGGTCCTTTTTTTTTTTTTTTTTATGATTCTGAGTTTTGTTCCACATTGTTCTCCCACTCTATCTAGGATCTCCTACATAGATCACCTCTGAGTGGTTGACAGTGGTAGCCAGGCGCTGTCTAGTTCTTCTGGTCTCAAGAGTTGTATAGGCTGAGAATCACATGGTGTACCAGTCCCTTGGACTAATTGTTTCCATACATCTTTGGTTTTCTTCCTTCTTCTGTGCTCTGGACATTACATCTACATGGCCACTTGCAAGCTTTTAAGATCCCAGTCTCTACTTGCCAAACTAGGATGTAGAATAATGTTTTTGTATACTGTGTTATGACAATTGAGCTTGATGTCCCCTGTAACCGTGGTCCCAAGCCTACAGGTCCAACTGCTTGCTCCCTCCGGGTAGCTGACCGTGGCCAAGAAGTCCCTACAACCTTGTTCCTTTCAGCTCTATTATATACCTGGAAATTCTTACAGAACATACATATACACTTGTGGAAACATTGTCTGCCAACCCTATACATGGTCATGGGCACACTCGCCCCTGCATAGACACACCAGAGTTCAGGAGGTTTTCAATGACTTTTTCATCGGTATGTTGGAAAGATTTGGAGGATTGCTGATGGCCATCTTACAGCCTTTAAAACAATTCATCTAAGCATATCTCCCTGGCCACAAAATTTTACTGTAACAATCTTTAAAGATAAAGTTTTTCATCATTTTACTACTGTTGACACAATTTTTTGCTGTCATGAGTGATGCTCCTTTAAATAAAATGAACAATATCTTGCCACGATTATACCATGCCATTTTGAATTCTGTGAAACAACATCCATTTGCACCTTTTTTTCTCATTTCCTATCTGCTTTGTGATAGTGAGGAGCTCTATGATAGTGAGGAGCTCTGGTGGCACAGTGGTTAAGGCATTCAGCTGCTAACCACAAGGTCAGCAGTTCAAACCCACTAGCCACTCCATGGGAGGAAGATGAGGCAGTCTGCTTCCGTAATGACTAACAGCTTTGGAAACCATATGGGGCAGTTCTACTCTGTGCTGTAGGGTTGCTTTGACTCGAAACCGACTCAGTGGCAGTGGGTTTGGTTTGGTTTTTCATGATAGTAGATGGCTCTTCACCCAAGAGCCTCTCAGGAGACTGCCCTGAGATAAACTTCTTACTGAGCTGGGAGAGTATGGGCAGGGAATAAAGTTTATAGTCTGTAAACTTCTTTAAATTGCAAGATAGAGGCAGGAGGGTTATAAGATAATTAACTTTATCTTGAAAAATGATGGAGATTTGTGTCAGTGTGCCTAGTTCCATCACCACCTGAGGGCTTCTGAAGTGACAGCAGTTTGATTCCTCACTCTACCTCTGTCCTCATGCCTGCTGCATTTTCTTTTCCATATTGCACTTTGTCTCTTCTTTCTGATCATTTGGGCCCGTGTCTGGGTTTCACTGGACAGAGTGACACATGAGGGCAGCTGCAAAGGCCCTCCTGCCATTGGCTGGACCCCAATGCTCGACGGCAAACAACAACAACAACAACATGTTTAATTAAGCTTAATGTCATCAACTGTCACATTGTAGTATGTATCAATTTCCTTTAGGAGTTCTGGTAGCATAGTGGCTAAAGCACTTGACTGCTAACCAGAAGGCTGGCGGTTCAAACCCACCAGCCACTCCTCGGAAGGAAGGTTGGGCAATCCTACTTCCGTAGTGATACTGCCTCAGAAACCCAAGGAGGGGTCGCTATGAGTCGGGGCCGACTCAACGGCACATAACAACAACAACAACATCGATTTCCTTTAGTAAAGCCGAATAATATTCCACTCTGGATATATATTTTGTTTATCCACTTATCAATTGGTGAACATTTGGTTTGTTTACACCTTTTTGGATATTATGAATAATGCTACTATATACATGCATATACAAATTTTTGTGTGGAAATACATTTTATTTTTCTTGGGTATATACTTAGGACTGGAATTGGTAGGTTGTGGTTAATCATTTTGAGAGAATACCATGCTGTTTTCCAAAGTGGCTGCTCCATTTTACATTCCCACCAGCAGTATATGATGGTTCCCATTTTCTACATCCTTACCAACACTTTTTATTATTAGTCTTTTTGACTCCGTCCTAGTATGAGTCAGGGCTGACTCGACGGCACATAACAACAACAACAGTGGGTGTGAAGTGGTATGCCATTGTGGTTTCGATTCCATTTTCCTAACAACTGTTGATATTGAGGACCTATTCATGTGTTTATTGATCATTTGTATATCTTCTCTGGAGCAGTATCTATATGTTTTGCCAATTTTTAAATTGAGATGTCCTTTTATTGTTGTGTTGTAAGGGTTCTTTATATATTCTGGACACAAGTCCTTTGTCAGCTATACGATTTGCACATATTTTCCCATTCTGTGGGTAGTCTTTTCACTTTCTTGATAATGTCTTTTGATGCACAAAGATTTTAATTTTAATGAAGTCCAATTTTTTTTTCCTTGTATCACTTTTGATGTCGTATCTAAGACTCCATTGCCAGATTCAAGGACATGAAGCATTGTTTTCTTCTAACAGTTGTAGTTTTAGTGCTTACATTTAAGGCTTTGATCTATTTTGAGTTAGTTTTTTATATAGGGTGTGAACTAAGGGTCAAACTTCATTCTTTTGCATGTAACTATCCAGTTTCCATAGCACAATTTGTTGAAAAGACTATTTTGTCCGCATTGACTGTCCTTGTCATCCTTGTCAAAATCATTTGACCACAGCCACATTTGTTTATTTCTGGACTCTCAATTCTGTTCCATTGGTCTACATATCTGTTCTTAGGGCAGTATCATACTACCTGATTACCTTTGGTTTGTATACCCACTGCTATCAAGTCAATTCTGACTCATAACGACCCTGAAGGATGGAGCAGAACTGCTCCATAGGGTTTCCAAGGCTGTTTCTTTATGGAAGCCAACTGCCTTATCTTTCTCCTGCAGAGTGGCTAGTGGGTTTGAACCACCAACCTTTTGATTAACAGCCAAATGCATTACCCAAGCCACTACATTACTTTATAGGGTTTGTGAGTCATCCTGCTTTGTTCTTTTTCAGGACTGTGGCTGTGCTTGATCCCTTGCAAAGCCATATGAATTTTAGAGTCAATTTGTCAATTTCTAAAAAAGAAGTCAGCTGGGATTCTGATATGGCTTGCATTGAATTTATATCAGTTTGGGGGTATTGCCATCTTAACAGAGTAAGTCTTCCAACCCATGAATATGGCACATTTTCCCTTTTAGTTAGATCTTTAATTTCTTTCCACAACATTTTATAGTTTTCAGAGTATGAGTTCTGCACTTCTTTTGTTAAATTTTTTTCTCAATATTTTACTCTTTTTGATTCTATTTTAGAAGGAATTGTTTTCTTAATTTCATTTTTGGATGTTTATTGCAATTGTACAGAAATACAATTGATTTTATATCCTACAAGCTTGTTGAACTTGTTCAGTCTGATAGTTTTTTAACAGTCTCCTTAGGATTTTTTACATACAAGATCACATCATCTGTGACAACCTATACTTCTAATGTACCCCCCATACACACACACACAGCCCTAGAAAATTCCCATAAATAGGAGCTCCAGAAGTCAACCACAGAGTCTGTCTGTTAGTGTTCTGAATCTTTGTTTTGCCTATCTTTTCTCCACAAATTTTGTCTTCTTCAAGGTAGGCTCCATTTGGAATCTTCTATGATAATAAATAACCAAACCAAACTCACTGCCATTGAGTCAATTCTGACTCATAGTGACCCCCATTGGGTTTCCAAGATGGTAAATGTTTATGGAAGTAGATTGCCCCATCTTCCTTCCATGGAGCAGCTGGTGTGTTTGGACCACCAACCTTCTGATTAGCAGTCACATGCCTTAG